ATGAGACATGGACTATGTTCTTCTATTACTCTTTGTAACTTGTCTATGAAGCATCAGGAAGTGATCGATTCTATATTTTTGTAGTCAGCCACTTTCCTGAAATATTAATTTTACATTATTATTTCTATCTTATGTCCATTATTACTTCTGGTGGTCTTCATTGCTTTTCCTGAGCAGTCATATCATGCAATGATATCATCTCCTGGGAATGATTAGTTCTGCCTCTTTCTTGTCGGTACTTGTATATCGTTCCCTTATCTTATCTAATTGCGCTAACCAGTGCTTCTAGCACACAGTGGGCGCTTTCCCTTGACGTTACTGGGACTGCTTCTGGTTTTTATCACTTTCAGTGATTTTCTCTAAAAAATCTTCTTGAAGAAGTGCCCATAAATCCTGTTCTAATGAAGATTTTTAGCATTAGGAATGGGTATTAAATGTCACTGGATATCGCTGGGGCATAAATAGATCTGCCTTCCAAAAGAAATTCATGTCTGACTTAAAGCTACCTCAGATGCTTAATATGCTTTTTAAAAACGAGAAATAATGTTTGTGTGCTATGACATGATCTCAGGGGTTGGCAGTCTCGCGTAGGTGTCACCATGGAAACCCAGGCCCGCGGGAACCGCTGCACGCACAAGGTGAACTCTGCTTCCCAGGCGAGGTCAGTAGTGTTTTTCGGGAGGACACTGGAGAGCTTCTGAACGGGGTCGTTCAGCTGAACTTGGCAGCGGAGGTTGGCGGGGCCTGTAATCACACAAAGGCAGGCGCCGCCTTTTACTTTTGCTTCTTAACGGCTTTGAGACTCTTCTGTACTCAGAGAAAGGCTAAGTAAAATGCCTAAGGTCTTGGCTCACCCACTTTCTTTCATTTGTCATTTATAAACTCTCAAAGCACCCCACTTCATTTGGGGTTAAAGATTTTATACCCCCACTGGATATGCAGAGCCCCGGACTGACCCCAAGTGCCTGCTCACCCCTCGGTTCTGGCTGCAGGCACAGCCTCGCGGTAGGGGACCCTCCTGGGGACGACCTGAATACAACAGAGAGGTGGTCCCCACTTCTGGACAAGACTCACCACTTGGCTAAACCTGGGGCCAACTTACCATGGGTGTGGTGTTTATACCTGACTCAGCTGCTTTAAACCTTTTCTGGGTGTTTTTCCAGGTAATGGGACTCTACTACCCAACAGCTGTTTCTGCTCCAAGGCACTGCCCGGCCCCTCGGCATCGAGTCTGAATACACCGTGTGATCAACAATCGCTGGGCTCTACCGGCCCTTCCCCACGTGCCTGGCGCTGTTAGGTGCTCCACATACAGCCTCTTACTAATCAATCTTCACAATCTCCTCCCAGGGGAGACTCAGACCCTGAAGGGACCCCAGCCCTGGCCGACTGGGCCCAGGAAGTCCCCTCTTAGTCGCTAAGCCTGGGGCCCCAGAGGGCAGCATGCGGTGCCTTTACCAAAGCCATCACTACAACCAGCTGTGCAGAGTCCTGGCTGTGAAATGTGGCCCGTCTGCACTTGGAACTGAGACAAACTCCTCGCAGACAAAGAGAAGTAACCCCAACATCCTCCGACCATAGAGAGAAGTTACTCCTATTCTCAGCAAAACTGAATGGCAGGGGAGAGCCGTGTCCTGTCCCGGCTACGACGCACTTGGGGTCTCAGCAGCGATTCAGAACCACCTGGAAGTCATTCCTTCGGGGGTAAGTTTTGTCTCCACCCAGACAGCAGCCTCTCTGCACCGAAGGTCCCCACTGGGCCAAAGCCCTTCTGAGGCGCATAAACTGCCCCTGTGGCCCCTCCCCCCAGGAAAGCAGACTGGTCAGGGATGCTTGGCATGCATTTTCAGCTTCAATGGTGGGGGGAAAAGAAAAGTAAGTGTGCCTTCCAGACTCAAGGGAAAGGGCAAAGCTACAGTTGTGTTCCTTCCTTCCTTCACGTATGGAAAACCCAGGTGGTATTGATTATTACGGTTTCCAGGGGATCTTCTTCGCTCACGGCAGGATCACACTGCAGACCCACCTGGCGGGAGCCACCGAGAACCCCCAGGCCACCCCTCCGCTGGGCTCGTGCTGTGGGCCGGTGGCTTCTGCAGCGGCCAGGCACCTGCCGACACCCCGAGCCCTGCACCACGTCACCCACCTGAAGCACCAGGACGGTTTAGCAGCGAGGCCCGGATGTTCTTCACCAGTAACTTGAGGTCATGGGCCCTTGGAGGTTTGGGAGGGCAGGGCTCCTGCGGGGCAGGCGAGGTGCGCTGGAGATTCTGCAGGAAGAGAAGGAGCAGTGACCGTGGGAGGCAGAGGACAGAGGCGGCAGCGGAGCCTGAACCGGGGTCTGCGCTGTGGCCGTTTCCCCTCTGATGGGAAGGTCGGGTACCAGCGGCCGGAGCCATTTCCCTGCTGGGGAGCCTTCTGTATCCCAGCAGCAGCAGCAATGCATTCAGCCAGGGAGGGCTCCCCAGAACCGTACTGTGGGCGGAGACTGGACCACCATGCGGGTCCATGCCTGACCCAGGCCAGGTGCCTGAGAGACAGTGGACGCCTTCTCCAGGCTGCAGGTCACCGGGCTGCCCCCAGCCTGGGCTAGGCAGTGGGTCTGTCCAGTGCTAACTGGTTTTCCCAGGAACCTCAATTCTCGAAGGATGCCGTCCAAGACCTCAGGCTCTGAGTGGACAATAAAAAGTCAAACTTGGGCTCCTACCTAGAAGGCGGAGGGTCAAGCCTAGTTAGGGTGGGACTATGCTGAGTGGCCCTCTTCCTTCCATCCCACCTGGAGCTTTGGAACCCCGTGCCCTGAACTGGAAGCTTCCCCAGAGCGTGGTCATTACTGGCCAGCAAGCACTGGCACAATCGGGCTCTACCACGCGGGGTGGAGGAACATCGGAACACACAGGTGCTCCGGACAGCGGACCATGGTCCTACGGGGCCTCGAGGCCCCCACACCGGGAGCAGGCTCACCTGGACTTCCCGCACGTCCACGGGCTTGATGCTCAGAACCACCGACGGGGAGGCGGAGCTAACCAGGTACTTCAAAATGTCCTTGAGAGTTTCACATATCGCCTTCACCTCCACGGCCCGGTCCTGCCGAAAGAGGAGGGAGTCACCCAATCATTTCATAACCACGCACGCGTGCGAAAGGACAGGTGAACGAACCTGGATCCAGGAGGTCAGATTAGGACCCATGAGAGATCTGGGGGAGAGGGTCCTTTTTACTGATCTCGGAAGTAATTCACCATTTTATTTTATTTATTTTATTTTAATCCTCACCTGAGGATATTTTTCCCACTGATTTCCAGAGAGAGTGGAATGAAGGGAAGATGGGGAGAGAGAAAGAAACATCAACAAGAGAGAGACACATAGATTGTCTCCCACACGCTCCCCTACCAGGGCTGCATTCAGCAACCAAGGCACATGTCCTCGACCAGGAATCAAACCCATGACCCTTCAGTCCACGGGCGAATGCTCCAATCCCTGAGCCAAACTAGTAAAATGTTTTTTTTTTTAAAAAAAGCCATTGTGCACCATAGAAATGTTAATATTCCTGTGTATATCCTGTCAGTCATTTTCCCCAAACATACAGACATGCGGCTTTCCTTTCCTGCACAACATTGGATATATTTTTGAAATTAAAAAGTATTCAAGTAAATGGAAAGGCCTGAAAAGAATGCAGACAAGCTTTTAGAAGAACAACAAAGCTACAGTAGTTAACACCCAGCTGAACTGTGTCCATGCATTCTAGAATGTTCACAGCACCCCTATTCATAAGAGCCCCAAACTGGAAACTACCTAAGTGCCCAACAACAGCTAAATGGACCCATAAACTGTGAGGCAGCCACACAGCGCGTGCTACGGGACCATGAGCACAAACACCACAGAGCCACCCACACACGGATGAACCTCACAGACACCGTGTCGAGTGAAAGGAGCCACACACAGAAAAGCCCACACTGTGCGATTCTGTGTCACATAAAAGTGACATGATGCATTTCAGTGGCATGTAGTGCATTCGAAGTGTTCGACAACCATCACCTCTATCTTGTTCCAAAATATTTTCATCCCCGCCCCCCGAAGTAAACCCCTCACCCACAGGCAGTCCCCCCTCATCCCCCTCCCCCAACAGGCCCTGCCAACCGCTGCTCTGCTTCCCGTCTCTATGGGCTTGACTGTTCTGGACACGGCATAGAGAGGTGATGGGGGGAACACGGAATCCCACAGCAGTGGCCTCGTATGTCTGGCTTCTTTCACTGAACATGACGTGCTCAGGGTCATGCAAGTTCCAGCAGGTATCGCAACCTCACTCTCGTTTATGCCTGAATGACATTCCATTATATGGATGGACCTCATTTTCTTGTCTACTTTTACCTTTTTCTCTTAAATAAATATATTTTTATTGATTTCAGAGAGAAAAGGAGAGGGATAGAAACATCAAAGACGAGAGAGAATCCTTGATCAGCTGCCTCCTGCACACCCCCTACTGGGGATCGAGCCCACAACCTGGGCATGTGCCCTTGACCGAAATCGAACCCAGGATCCTTCAGTCTGCAGGCCGACGCTCTACCCACTGAGCCAAACTGGCGAGGGCTGTCTACTTTTATCCTTTTAACCCCCACAATTTCTCCACACTTTACAGAGGAGGAAACCAAGGGAGAAAGATGAGTCTGGGGTACGCGCATGTCAGAGTCCATTACATCTTAGACCCCCAGAGCAGCTGACTCGGGGACCTTCCTTCCACGCCACCCCCTGCCCACATGCCACCTCCTCCCTCGGGGCCCAGCAGGACCCAGCGGCGGGGGGCTGGCTGATCCACAGAACTGCTTCACTGGAAGTCACACTGCCCACAGATATGAGCAGCACGTGGGGGTCAGGGAAATGTCCAGGGCGTGGGGCAGGGTATAAACAGCACGTACAGAATCCCACCATTTGGGTGAGAAAGGAGGAATCAGATCATTTTTGCAAAAAGAAGGGCAGAAAAGATAAAAACCACAGAAACGTGTTACCGCACGCAGAGGAATGGTGGCAGAAGGGAGAGGAACAGGGGACAGACTTCTGAGTATAACGTTTCATGTAGCTTTGACTTTAAAATCATCTTAAAACTTTGCACGTTAAAAACATATGTAAATCAACAAAGATGGGGGACAAACCCTAATACTGCATCCGAACAGACACAAATGCAGCTCACGAGACATGACATGGGTATGATAACCACACGGAGGGAAAAAAAATCAAGTCATTGTTGACCGTGAACTCGGGCCCCCTCAGCGGGATGCACTCTGGGACGAGGGCCAGCGGCCGCCCTGAGGTCGGCAGGTGTGAGGTTGGCAGTGGAGCCAGGGGAGCAAGTCACAGAACAAAGGATGCCGTGTGGGAGGAAGGAGCACAAACATGGAAAGAAGGAGAAAGAGGCCCGGAGCTGGCGGCGAGGGAGACACTGCGCTCGTGCCCCTCCTGGAACTAAGCAGCCGGCACAAATGACACTTCGGATGCATGCAAGCCGAAAGAACTACCATTCACGCTTACCAGTATTTTTTAAAAAGCAACTGTCCACATCTAGATTAAGGCAGGGACAGTGACTATTTATAGACCAACTATTAAAGTCACATATGTCAGCTGGTGAACAAGAGTCAGAGTTAGGGTTAAATCACAAGGAAATCCTGCAAAAGCCGCTGCAAAGGAAGACCCTAGTAACCTGAGCCTTTGGTGTAAATGATTTTGCATCATCGTTTCAGCAACTGGACAGAGCGACGCCAACTGACTAGCATGCCCACTCCCACGCCCGAATTCACTTCTCCAAACAGCCAAGACCCCGGGGAGCAGGAGGAGGCTGCCTCCAGATTTGGGGTGCGTCTTTACAAAAACTGTGGAGAGGAAGAAGGTCATGACCTCGGAGCCGGCTGGGCTCGGCCTGAGCTGTAGGTAAAGCCATTTCTAGGCAGGAGAGAGAATCTGACCATCAGGTGTGATAGAACGTCATTCCTTCAACAGTTTGCAACCGCAGACGCACATGCGCACCTAAAAACTCCCCAGCCCCCTGACACCCACACGGGGACTCCCCCGCCCCATGACACCCACACGGGGTGGCAGGCAGGCTTCCGGGATCTTGACAGCTGCCAGGGGATTCCAGGGGCAGCCCGGAGCCCGGGGTGAGAGGGGGCATCGAATCCATCACAAGGCACACACGTTCCCAATACACCGCCGGAGGCATCATAGGGACGAACGGACTGACCTCCCCCGGGGCTCGGGGCTGGATGGTGATGGCCATCTCCGGCAGGCTGAGGAAGGACCACCGGATCGGAATGTCCTCTCTCTCCTCCTTCATGCGGAGCTCCAGCTTTAGGAGGAAAAAGACAATGGTTATTGGAGAGCTGCTGTCTCCACCAGAGGCCCCTCGCACACCTGCGTGTGTGTGTGTGTGTGTGTGTGTGCGTGTTCACCGATTTCCTTAGGTAAGTGCTTAGCCTCCCGGGCCACCCTGCGCACTCACAGGTGGAGAAGAGGGTCCCACGCTCCCTGTGATCGGCCCCTTCACTACAGGGACCTTGTCCCACCCCCACCAGCACTGTCCTGGGCCTCCACCTGCCACTCAGCAAGGGACCCCAGGGCTGGTGGCTGAGGGCCCGACGTCACCGGAACTCCGCAGTCCACTTTAAATTCTCTGTGCTCTGCGTTTCCCTCGTGGGAGTGTCACCGAGATGTAAGGGCGGTGAAAGTGAGGAACCAGGATGCCTGGCCAGCCCCACGCTCACACGTCCGCTGAGGGCTGTGTACGGAGCACACTGGTTCCGGTCACCTGCCTCTTGCCTGGGCCATCACAGAACCTCTAACTGGACCCTGGTCTCCCACAATGTCCCATTCACCCTCCCCATCCGTGGCAGAAAAATGACCCCCAAAGATGCCCGCACTCCAAGCCTTGGCACCTGTGGAGATGTGACCTTACACGGCAAACGGGACTTTGCGGATGCGATTAGGGCAGTGGTCGGCAAACTGCAGCTGGCGAGCCACAGGCAGCTCTTTGGCCCCTTGAGTGTGGCTCTTCCACAAAATGCCACGTGCGTGCATGCACGTACAGTGCGATTGAAACTTCGTGGCCCATGCGCAGAAGTCGGTATTTCGTGGAAGAGCCACACTCAAGGGGCCAAAGAGCCGCATGTGGCTCACGAGCCGCAGTTTGCCGACCACTGGATTAGGGTGAGAGCCTGCAGGTGTGGAGGTGAGTCTAGGTTATCGGGGCGAGCCCAGAGGAACCATAACAAGGGAAGAGAAAAGCAGAGAGGACCCCAGAGATATGTCTTGAGGGTGGAGGGTGCTGCCAGGAGCCCAGGGATGAGGCTGCCCCTAGAAGCTGGGCACTGCCCTGGGCTGCCAGCCAGCAGGGGCCGGGCCTCAGTCCTACCACCGACAGGAGCTGGATTCTGCCTGAGTGAGCAGGAAACAGATTCTCCCCAGGAACTTGCAGAAAGGAAGGCAGCCCGCCATCACCTAGATTTCAGCCTGTGTGGACGTCAGGCCCCCCAGAATGGTAACAGGATACACTTGTGCTGTTTTAAGCTAAGTTGGTGGTCACTTGTTTCTGCAGCCGGAGAAAACTAATACACCGGCCTTCATTTTTCAGCCAGACACAAAAATGTCAGCTCTTCGCGTCTCCATCCTTCTCCCCACCACCTACCCACGGGAAAGAAAGGATGGCCTCAGCCCGTATTTCTGAATACTCAGGACTCTCACCTCACTCGAGCAAAAGGGTCGGAGAAATGATGCCCTCCCTTGTAACTCTAGAACGAGTGCACTTTCATTTCACTGACACGGGTCCCCGCGTCACCCCCACCGGGCGGGGTAGGGGGCGGCAGCAAGCCCGACTGCTGGTCCCTTTACGCGCCTTTCATCTGAGGAATAAGGGAGAAGCGGGAGGCCTGCTGCCCAAGCATTAATAATTGACGGTCCCTAGCAGCTGCCTCTGCGTGCAGCTAACCCATGGGCTGCTTTGAAACTGTGCTAAGAGATCAAAGATACAATTGTGTCACTTGCTGCTCAAATGACACCTAAAGCCCATCTTAGAAACTACATTGCTCCATTCGTGTTTGGGGTCCT